TGTGCTGATTTACCCTCAATATAGTGATTTAACCTTAGTAAAAGCCTTGATCTTGGACGAGCAAATTGAGTTTGCTATAATAGATTAGAAGAGGTTACACAGAAATGCACACTCGGACCTCAGGGCTACAGATACAGTTTGAACCACCATCTCATATTCAAGGATTATGGACAGAGAAATCTTATCAGTCTCAACATCACTTTTCACATTCCAGTAAGATACCTTCAAAAAAAAATGCCCAAATTATAGAGGCACTCATCAACTCATAGCACTGTATTCAACTCAAAAGGATAAAGTGATAGCATTTGCAAAGGCATGCTGGCTGTCAAAGAAGTGGACTATGACATTTGACACATCAGTGTGTCTTTTTCTGCATAGGTGTGGTATGATATGCCATCACGGGCAGTAAAGCAGCAGGCCATTTTCAGGAATGCTTAGTACAGTTTGTAGCCATTTACGTTTTACTTCTCATCTGTGTTGGTGCAACGTACATATAATGAGAGTCAAATTTTTGTCACAAATTTCTCTCACTCTCACGTCAGACACTCTTCAAGCTTACAGTGACTCTAATATTCCAATTTTAACTAGGTTTACAGCCAAAGGTAGATGGCTATGAACCCTGGTATGAGAAACACCTTATTCCTTTTATTGACTTTATTAAATGTATCACTGAATTTATGTTTGATGATCCCAAAATACTTCTATCTATCTTTACAATCAAATTTAATTCCATAGAGACAATAACATTTCTGTTTACTCTTGAGTTTATGCAGAATTATTTATAGAAGATTATATCATGTCAAAAACCATTTATTCGACCATTAGTTTCAATGGGCCTTCTGATACAAATTTCTGTCATAATTCCTGGTGAAAGGGCCAGTGGTCAATCTGGGACCAGGTTGTGCAAGATTGTGGTCTTCTGTGCTAGTTTCTGGGCCTTAGTTTAGACCCTAGTTTTAGGCAGAATCTTAGTTCAAGCCCAAATAAGGGTACCTACATCAGAGGAGATATGGCTGTGAGTAAGGGAGTCTCCAGACAAAGTTTTCTTCGTAGAAGAGAATTGGGTAAATACCTTCACTTTTGGTGGGAGACTTGTGTGTCTACCTGAGAAACTAATTTGAAGTAGTGGGCTTAGCGCTAGACAAATGCTGAGAGTTTTTTTATTTAGAATTTTATAGCTACCTGTGAGTGGGTCACAGCGTTATTGCAGAAGTCAGTATTGAGGCTTCTCAGTACCAGCTTTGGATGGCCAGACTCCATGGCAAGCGTCAACCTTACCAGTCAGGTAGACACCAAAAATAATGGGTTCATGGCAAAGATATTCATCTTCCACAAACCAAGATGGTCCCAAATTCTTTCTTCAAATATTTTGCCATTTTGTTTGAAACAGTATTATAGGTGCTTGAACGGAATGTTTTAAAAAGGGAACCTGCTTTACCACATTTTCCTCGGATGAGCCTCACGGAATGCTACATACTTAATGCCAGCCACATATTCACCCTGAGCCTGCTATAACTGAGTTTCAACTGCTCTCATTCAATACTTTTACAAACTGATTTGTCAACAGGGTCATCAGGCAGAAATTAGGGGTTAAAACTCCTGCTAATTTTGTTCTTTACTTATTACAGAAACCCTGTCTCTGACCAGACATCTAATTAAAACAGCAATTCAAACAGTACACCCACATCCGCTTAGCTGAACTTGTCCTCACCCTTAATAACTTCTCCTTCAATTCCTCCCATTTCCTACAGACAAAGGGGGTGGCCATGGGTACCCGCATGGGCCCAAGCTATGCCTGCCTCTTTGTAGGATATGTGGAACAATCCCTGTTCCAAAGCTACACTGGCCCTATCCCCCATCTCTTCCTCCGTTACATCGATGACTGTATCGGCGCTGCCTTGTGCTCCCACACAGAGCTCGAACAGTTCATTCACTTCACTAACACCTTCCACCCCAACCTTAAATTCACCTGGAACATCTCTGATACCTCTCTCTCCTTCCTGGACCCCTCTGCCTCCATCTTTGTCATCCACCTGGAAACCGATATCCATTTCAAACCTACCGACTCCCACAGCTACCTAGAACACACCTCCTCTCACCCACCTTCCTGCAAAAAGGCCATCCCCTATTCCCAATTCCTTCGTCTTCGCTGCATCTGCTCCGGAGATGAGGCATTCCACTCCCGGACAACGCAGATGTCCTCGTTTTTCAAGGACTGCAACTTCCCCTCCACAGTAGTCGAAAACACCCTCGACCGTGTCTCTCGCATTTCCCGCAACTCATCCCTCACACCCACCCCCCGCAATAACAACCAAAACAGAATCCCCCTCGACCTCATGTACCACCCCACCAACCTTTGGATCTAACGCGTCATTCTCCGACACTTCCGCCATCTGCAATCTGACCCCACCGCCAAAGACATTTTTCCGTCCCCACCCTTATCTGCTTTCCGGAGGGACTACTCTCTCAGTGACTCCCTTGTCCACTCCATACTCCCCACCAGCCCCACCACCCCCGGCACTTTTCCCTGCAACCGCAGCAAGTGCTACACCTAACCCTACACCTCCCCCGTTACCCCCATCCCAGGCCCTAAGAAGACTTCCACATCAAACAGATGTTCACCTGCACATCTGCTAATGTGGTATACTGTATCCGCTGTTCCCGATGTGGCCTCCTCTACATCGGGGAAACCAAGCGGAGGCTTGGGGACCGCTTTGTGGAACACCTACGCTCGGTTCACAACAAACAAATACACCTCCCAGTCGCGAACCATTTCAACTCCCCCTCCCACTCCTTGGACGACATGTCCATCCTGGGCCTCCTGCATTGCCACAATGATGCCACCCGAAGGCTGCAGGAACAGCACTTCATGTTTCGCTTGGGAACCCCGCAGCCCAAGGGTATCAATGTGGACTTCACAAGCTTCAAAATCTCCCCACCCCCCAACCGCATCCCAAAACCAGCCCAGCTCGTCCCCGCCTCCCCAACCATTCCTCCCACCTCGAGCCCCACCCCCATCTCCTACCCACTAGCTTCATCCCGCCTCCTTGACCTGGACCGACCTATCCCCACCCTAACTCCCCACCTACATTCACCTTTACTGGCTCCAACCCCGCCTCTTTGACCTGTCTGTCTCCTCTCCACCTATCTTCTCCTTTATCCATCTTCTATCCACTTCCCCCTCTCTCCCTATTTATTTCAGAATCCCCTTCCCCTCCCCCATTTCTGAAGGGTCTCAACCCGAAACATCAGCTTTTCTGCTTCTCTGATGCTGCTTGGCCTGCTGTGTTCATCCAGCTCTACACCTTGTTAGCTCAGATTCTCCAGCATTGTCAGTTCCTTCTATCTCAATTCAAACAGTAATCCTGGTCTCATTTTGGGTTGTACTAACCTTGTACTAAAACAGCTTTCAGTGGAATGTGAATGTACAGGTATACAGAAATGACAATCTGGAAAAGAATTGCTGATCTACCCAGACTAGATTCTCTTCAACGTCAAAATTCAAAGTGAGTCTCTTAATCCTTTTGTAACAAACTGTTAAGGCAATAGATCTGGAGACTTGCCTAATAGAGTTTGTCAAATGTTCCAGTACCACTGCAGAATCCTTTTAAATAGGAATCATATTAAACCCAAAAGATACATTTCAATGAGTAAGCCACTGTTTAATACTAAATGGATGGATTTGGCGAAAAAAATCAGGATAACGTAGGATCTTCATTTACCCGATTGATCCATTTCTTGAATCCGTACTTGTGGATCCCAGCAGTTTTTTTGTACCACTCTGAATATGTTGCCATCTTTCATCATTTTTGCTTCACCCTTTTAATAAACAGGACATTTTAGTTCATCAGCTATTAGTCTATAGGATACTATTGCTGCAGTGCAGAGAATTTTGGTGATCAGGAATGGAGGATTTGTGTGCTTGGGTGTCTTGTGGTGTGTCAGTGCATTCTGTATAAATTTCCATTGGTGGGTTATCCACAGCTGAACTGTACTAATAGCAGGCTAGTCATTGAGCGATATTTGGAATTTTATATGGAAAACTGTTAACCAGACACTTACAAGTTCTTATTAGAGGCAGAAAAAAAGCGATGGGGAGTAGTCTCAAGCAGAGTGATATGGCAATTGTGAAGCATATGTATAATATGACAAGAAACATGGTGACAAATAAGAAAAAAAAATTGAATATAATTTTCAGTGTTACAGAATGAACCAGAGTCAAACTACTTTTATCTATTTTGCTTGTCTTAATCCTTTAATTAACATAATAATAATGAGCCTTTGCATTTAGAATTTGAATAATCATACCTCAGAGTGATGGTGAAGTTGGACCCAACCTTCATATCCATATCTCTGGCAAAAAAAGGGGAAGTGTTATTAATTTTATAGATTGATAGATGCAATTTATAAAGCACCTTTCACATCCTTAGATGCCCAAAGTGCTTTGCAACAAATTGATTACTTCTGGAGCATAGTTGCTGTTGTTAACTATTGTTATTTAAGCAGATTAGCTCTAAATGCCTATTTACAAAGGTGCTGCACCAATATTTAAGTTAGCAACTTTAGATCTTAACTATGCTCCTTATTTTCTTGAGGATCACAGATTCTGGTCATGGAGGAAGGCTGCACCAGAGTCAAAAGGAATGGAGACCTAGGCTGTTGCTTAGGATTGGGATGGGCAATTGGAACATGGCTGACAGGGTATTCACCCTGCCTCCTGGGTCTACCTATTCACTGCCTCATTTTGAAGCAACGGAAACCACCTCACCTTTGTTAGGTTTTCCTTGCACTCTGCTTTTTAATGTTAAGTATTTATACCTCAGACGTTTTTTGTTTATTTATACTAGTACCATCTTTAAAGGTGTGCACCATCATTTTATCACTTAATCACTCCTGCACTCCATCCTATCACATTTCTGTTTGCTTTTTTCTCTTCCTGCCTTCTCCTTTTCCCTGTTCTGCATTTGTTTAAAATATAAGAATTTTAACATATTCCATTTCTGATGTAAGAGAATTGACTAAAAAATGTTGTCTTTGATTTTAACTGCTGCCACTCCTCACCACATGGGGATAATTGGTGCTGTGTTAAATATCAGGAGCGGTCAACCAGTCCCGAACACTACATTCCTACCCCTGTAAATTTTAAAATGCAGAAAAGAGGCTACATTCAATGCAGCTGAGTAATGGCCTGATCATTGTACTACAATGAAGTCCTGCCATTAAAATCTTAAGGCCTTCATGTCCTCAGCCCCGAAGAATTATTCTGGATCTGTGTTCCTCCAGGTCTACCCTGTAAATATCTGGGTTCTTAAAGTTTGTTTTCTTTGTCACTGATGCTGCCTGAACTGTTGAGAACTTTCATCATCATTTATTTTTATTTAGGAGAACATGTTTTTGTTTCATTAGAGTCATGGGCCTTTTTGAAAAAATAGTTCTTGGAGTGCTGCTGCTTTAAGAGCTGAGTATGCTAACAAGCCAAGGAGCCGGATGACATCACATGATTGTCTGCTATGACAAATTCGATCAGCTGGTGCTAGACTCAGGATGTGTACATTAGTTACTCTGTAACCGCAAAACATAACTTGGCCTATTGAATAATCCTGTTTGAGATCTTCAAGTAAATTGAACCTATGCTACTGACCAATCCAGTATGAGAATGATAATTTTACACTAATGAAATCAAGACAAGGGTACAGCATGGTGATCAGCAGTTATTTTTCTTATGAAATGAAAATAGTGATGCAAAATGGAAAACCACAGGAAAGTGCCTTAGACAAGATTTGAAGCCATACAGATGATACATTTACACCAGGACCCAGGAAAACAAGTCATTGCACAACATAGCTGCTGATCATGTGGTGACATTCTGCTTCTCATACTCCGTTCTAAAGGAAGTAGCACACCAGGCTGAACTTGATTTTTGACCTGGTTAAGTTGGTTGTCTATGCAAGTGATGAGTTGGTCCTGAATTGGGCCATTATAGCTGCAGGTCCAGCAGTGATGAGAACCTCTGCCTATGTTAAGTGGGAGAACATGACTATAGGGGTACTCTAGGGATATGGTGCATGGGTAAGAGGCTGAGTTTGGGAGTTGGGCCTCAAAGAGAGAAGCCCTCCATGAAACTTGCCCAAATTATATTTAGCTGATTTCTGTTAAGACTTAGCCCAGTACTTTTAGGGATTACTTTTGTGTCAATATGTTAGTCAGAATCTGTTACAGCAGCAAATGGACACTATTAAGGAAAGGATTTCTGGGCATGTGTGTATTGCTAATGATTCTCTGGTAATGGGCAAAACTATAGAGGAGCACAACTGAAATCCACACTCATTGATCGTGGAAACTTGTCATGAAGGACATACCTTAACACTAAGAAGTTGCCAGGTGAACGTAGACCAGACCAGTTTTTTCAGCTCAATCTACTGAGGTTATGGAACTATTCCAACCCCAACAACATTGAGGATGTATGACACTTGCCTAGCCCCAAGGCAATGTCTGGATCTTTTAAACTTCCTAGCACTATACATGTCAAACCTTTCTGACAAAGCATCATCATTAAAAAAGAGCTGGTAAGGTAAGATGCCTATATGCATGGACCAAAAGACTGATGGAATCTTGAGAATATAGAGGCTGTTTGTGCAGCTGTGGCTGGTGACTGTGGAAAGCCTGGCACATCCACAATGTCCTCTCATTCTCCTTGTTGATCCCTGTCCAATACACAGTAGGAGGAATACTACACAAAAATTTAACACTCCCCAGCAAGGCTTTATCATTTAATATTTAATTGAAGTTCAGCACCTCTCTTCTCTACATATATCAAAAGATGTCTCTCTATTTGAAAGGCACTAAATTCTCCCTACTGGCTGGATAGAGAAATTGGACAGTTTTCCACAGCACCAAACCAGCTGGATAGAATGCAGTGTCCTTTTGGTTCCTACAGCATGCCAATAAAATTTATGCAAGACTCAACATTTTGATAATTGCCTATTGCTTCCATAGCATTTTTTTTCTCTCACCTTCCCGCACAAATGCGAATATATCAAAATTGGTTAAACTTCCACGCAAACTACCAAAATATTACCTCATTAGCACATGATTGAAAAATTTATTACTAGATTGAGAATGTTAATCCATATTTTGCTATACTTTGCCATAACCAGTGACACTGTCAGTTAAATGAAGATTTGCTATCCAGTGTTTATCTTGCCTCTTATCTTCATACAGAGGCCTCTCAATGTTTTACATTCTTTATACATTTATTTTTCTTAGAGAGAATTTTATTTACTCTGTTGCTCAACATGACCCCTTCTACTCAACTATCAAAAATAGTGAACCATATCACCAGACTGTTACCTGTTTCAGATTGGGCCATTCCTTGGGCAGGATGTGGCAGTGTAAGTCTATCTTCATTCTTGTACAACAAGCAGGTCAATTATAAATCAGACACTTTCTGACTGTTGATCTTTGATGCATATGGATGGCTCACTCAATTTATTCCACCTTACTTTAAGAGGTGTACTGGTACTGTAGCCAATCACAGTTCAAGTAAACTTTCACTAACTGCAAACCAATCATTAAAGGACAAAGTACAATGTAGGAGCAGAGAAAACATATTTATGTGTAACTGAAAGCCCAAAGTGTTTTTGTCATTATCATTAAAAAATGTGATTTATTTAGGACACAACTCATTCAACTTATGCTATTGCTCACGCTTCAAGTTTCAGGGACATCAATAGGATAAATATTACACTTAATAAATACTTAAATAAAACTAAGAGTACAGACATGAACAGCTCTAGATTATTGCCCAGAGTGTGGATTGGAATATAATGATATGAAGGAAAACAAACTGGAGTTCAGGCACCAGTCACCACATGGAATAATGATGTAACAGTAATAACAAAGACTTGGCACAAAGGAGAAGAAGTTTCAGAAATTAATATACCTGACTTTGAGAGAGTAAGGGAAGGAAAAAAGAAGCTGATATGTTGGTGTTGGTATTAAAAATCAAAGGAGGGGTTTTAACACCGGGAAAGGATCATGTGTTTGAGGGGTCAATGATAAAACTGATTTCATTAGCATGAAGGAACAGGAGAGGACCATCTTAACTGCTCTTACTGCCGTTATCCATAATAGAGCTCAGCTGGGTTGGGCACTACAAGCCAGACAGAACCTTATTGCCACCTGCTTTCATTAGAAGAGATCTGGCTGCATTAGGCAGTCATGGACTGTCAAATATTCTTTGGTCATGATGCCAAAATCTGGTTTTCGTTCTCAAGATAAACCTCAGCCTCAACTGGTTTTGTTTGTGTTACCCTTTGCTTTCTGTAAATAAAGTTCATGTTTGTGTTTGCTTGATTAGTTGGCTGTGTGTAATGTTGCACCACCGGGCAAAGCTAGTTTGTGAGTACACAGTGGGCCCTGGTGACAGAGTCGCCCTGTCAATGAGAGTGTACAGAAAGGGTGAAGCGACAGACAGGTAAAGTGTGTGGTGTGGTGGGGGTTAAACTGTAAGTGAGAGAATGGGGTTGTATGTGTGAGGGACTGTCTCAGTTATGCTGACAGCCATGTCAGCCATCGGCAGGGTGGCTGTGCATGACATTGATGGTGAGGTTGCCAATGCTTGTCTGGCACACAGTGACCTTTCGTAGATGGTGTAGGCAAAAGGGATGTCGCCTTTCAGTGATGTCTGTTGAGCAGTGAGTTTTGCAGGAAATGGTGCAGGATAAGCGATGTCAGAGGGATGGAGTAGGTAATTAATGAGGAGAGTCTGGTAAGACATGGTGAGCGAAACCATTAGATCTCGTGGTGAAAAACCCTCCAGAAAAAATTCCACGCAACTTGGACTTGGCCAACATAAAGATTTAGCCCAAACTATTTATGAGGAAATGGAGACAACATCATATTCCAACCAAGAAGGAATGGGCATTTGTGCATCAGATGGTAGTTGCCTCCTACTTTTTTTTTTATTCACTCACTTGTGAGATGTGGATGTCACTGGCTGGCCTGCATTTATTGCCCATTTGTATTCACCCTAGAGAAGGTGGTGCTGGACTGGTTTCTTAATGAGATTTTAAATGTGGCTTACAAAATTCCAAATGGAAGTCACTAAGGTATTTGAAAAATGCAGGCTAAAAGACAAAAACATTTTAACTGGCCAGAATGACAGAACGATGTGGTTAAGTTTAGTCAGAGATGCCACACAGGTTGTGGTACCCAACCATCAATCAAGCCTTTAATTCTGGTACCAGCTTTCAAAGAAGCATTTCGCAGGGCCTTAGTAGATTATGTTGTACACCTACCTAAAATAGAATTGGGAATCAGTATTTTTTTTTAAACAATTATGGATATTTTAAGAAAATTTCCTGTGGGAATGCCTTTTCAGAAAATGATAGCAAAAATAATAGTACAAAAGTTAATTCAAGGTGTGGAGAGTCCCAAAAATCCATCAAATCAACATTCAAACTTTAAGTTGCAAATATTCAGAGAAATAATGAATGGCTTGGGAATAAAACAATTTATGTTGACAGCATATCATCCACAATTTTAAGGATTAGAAAGTCAAACTTTACCATGATTAGAACTTTTTATCAAGAATACTAATGATTCAGATAAAGGGATTCTTGTTTACTGTTTGTGATCAGGAATGTCCCTCACAAGTCTACATTTGTCAGTCCTTTCGAATAGATACAGGGACATGACATGAAAGATCCCATTAGATTATTTGAAGAAACTTGACAAACCAGTTTTCAGAGACACTTCTGATTTATATGTCTAATTTCCAAGAAAACTAACCAAAACATGAGAGTTGGCCAAAAAACATTTGAAAACTGCTCAATAAACAATGAAATTTAGAGCAGATTACAAAGCCAAAGTTTGCAATTTTGTTGCTGGGTGCAAGGGGTGGGATCTTATAGAAACCTGAATGATATGGCTATGGCAAGAAATATGTCAAAACTGCATGCAGTCTATCCCAATATTGGGAATAATTTCCTGCATCTGTTGCCTAACCTCTGGGCATCGTGGTTAAATTCTCAATTTGCAGCAATGAGTTGCCTATTGGGGGGAATTATTGCTTTTTATTGACTGTATTAACTACAGATCTTACCTCATGAATGTGTAGCTTTCTATTTCAGCATCTGCTGTAAGCAAACTAGATGCTGGGAATTCTCGACATGCAGGTCAGAATGGGTGCCTGACAATTTCATGTCACCACTTGCTCCAAATAACCTCCATGATGGAAACTGGATACCGGCATCTCAGGACATGCTCAATGGGCACTGGCCACATGTATCTGACATCAACAGACGTTAGCATCCAACATGCGCCATCTTATAAGGACCCTCTTGGTCCACATCACCAATTCCAAAAATGGTCTTTCAGCATCTCATTAAGGGTTAAACCAAATGTTATTTGCCGAGGAAAAAGTAATGCATTCTTTCCACATACTGGGCCCAATCTTTATGGCAGGATCGAATGAGTCAAGCTTCCCAAATAATGGCATGATGCCAGAAATGCTTATCCCAACTCTAAGATGACCGTTGTGAGTGAATTTCTTTAGGAGTGTTTTTTTTTTCTTTCATCGCCACTGAAATAGCTCCAAAGAGGCCGGTATCCCATCACCAAGTCACACTTTATTTATACGTGCATAGTACTTGACACTGGTCCAGTTTTCTTCAGAGCCAGCTCTGAGAGTGAGCAGAACCTCTCACTCTCCTGTTTACATCTGTCACCCAGGGCTCCCTGATTGGACCAGGTTAACAACCCCAATCAGGGAACTCGTATTCTACAAGGTGCACCTGGCTCACCTCATTACAATCAATACAAAAGATGTTAAAGAAAAGCACTTAGAAAAGTTCAAGCAATCAGGCCAAGGCAACATGGTTTTGCAGAAGGGAAATCATGTTTAACCAATTTATTGAAATCCTTTGAAGAAGTAACATGCTGTGGATAAAGTGGAACCAGCAGATTCCAGAAGACATTTAATAACTTGCAACACCAAAGGTTAGCGAGGGAAATTAAAGGTTGTGGTATTGGGATAACATTTTGGGTACTGATAGAAGATTAGCTTTTTTTTTTTCCTTTATTCACTCACAGGATGAGGGTGTTGCTGGCCAGGCAGCATTTATTGCCCATCCCGAATGGCAGTTTAGAGTCAACCACATTGCTGTGGGTCTGGAGTCACATGTAGGCCAGACCAGGTAAGAATGGCAGTTTCCTTCCCTAAAGGACATGAGTGAACCAGTTGAGTTTTTCCCCTGACAATTGATTCACAGTCATCATTAGATTTTTAATTCCAGATATTTTATTGAATTCAAATTCCACCATCTGCTGTGGCAGAATTTGAACCCGGGTCCCCGGAACACTATCTGGGTCTCTGGGTTAATAGTCCAGCAATAATACCTCTGGGCCATCACCTCCCCTTGGCTGGCTTACTGGAGATGGAAAGTAAGCATAAATGAGATTATTTTCAGGGATCAGCACTGGTCTTCAACTTTTTACAATTCATATAAATGACTTGGATGAAGCGATTGAAGTCAAACTCAGCTAAATTTGCTGATGTCACAAAGATAGGTAGAAAATTAAGTTGTGAAGAGGACATAAGCTAGCTACAAAGGTTAAATGAACGTGGAAAGACCTGGCAATGGAATATAATGTGGAAAAATGTGAAACTGCCCATTTTGGCAGGAAAGATAAAGAAGGCTATTAACTGAATAATGAGGGATTGCAGAGCTCTGAGATGCAAAGTATCCAGGTTGTCCTAGGGCATGAATCACAAGAGTTTAGTATGCAGGTACAGCAAATAATTAGGAAAGCTAATAGAATGTTATAATTAATTGTGATGGAAATTGAGTACAATAGTAGGTGTTTGTGCTTCAGCAATACAGGGCATTGGTGAGACCACATCTATCACATCTGAATACTTTCTACAGCATTGATCTTCTTATTTAAGGAAGGATACGAACGTGTCGAAAGCCGTTCAGAGACAGTTTATTGGACTAAGAGCTGGAATGGGTGTCTTATGTGGAAAGGTTGGACAAGGCAAGACTTGTATTCGTTGAGGTTCTTGAATGAAACGCGAGATCTCAGGAGGTCTCGATAGGTTGGATGTGGAAAGGATGCTTCCTCTTGTGGGAGAATTTAGAACCAGGGTCACTATTAAAAATAAGGATCTGCCCTTTTAAGACAGAGATTAGCACAATGTTTTTTCTCAGATTGTTGTGAGCCTTTGAAGTTCTTTTTTTCAAAAGGTAGTGGAAACAGAGTCTTTGAATATGTTTAAGGAAGAGATAGATCTTTGACAAGCAAAGGGTTTGAAAGTTTATCAGGAATGGGCAGACACGTGGAGTAATCAGATGAGCCATGATCTGATTGAAGAGTAGAGCAGATTTGAGGGACCAGCAGCCTAGTCCTGCTCGTAATTCGTATGTTCATGAGTCCAGTGAAGGCACAATTATTCTGTAACAGATCGTAGAGATTGAATTGATGA